AGCAGGAGGTGGGGAAGTTACAAAAACAAACCTCCTAGAACAGATGTTAGATCATTAAGCAAAACATCACTTACGAAACACTAATCACAAAATATACAGTCTGAAACCGTGCAAAGATTGCTCTGCATTTCTTGGAAAATATATTCTAAGAATAGGGTTGTTAAAAAGCTAAAGGATCTCGTACGTGCTCATCTTCCACAGACTGGCAGAGAGGAAAGCTACATGGCAGGTGCACTAGACCTTTTTGATGCGTGGCTGGTACCTGCATTTGTTTTCAATTAATTTGCATGAGAGTGTGACTTTAGGAAGATACGCTGAACAAGGAGCGAGGCGTATGTCAGAGGGAGGAGGCACAGGGAGCAGAACACAGAAACAGATGGTCTCTGTCCTATTTCTGCTCTAGGTGTGGGCAAATGAGGGAAAGGAGAGTAAATACTTACATGTTACAGAAATACAGAATATTTCAACAGTAAATTACGGTACTCTGTATGCACTGATTAGCTTGTGTGGCTGAAAGGAGAGCCAGAGTTCCTACTAACATTGTTCGTCTGATACAACAAGGGAATTAGAATGTGAGCACAATTCCTTTAAACCTACTTACCGAGTCCCATAGTCGGGTCCACATACATTAGCATATACAAGGTATTTTTGCTCCTTTTTCTTTTGCATGTGGTCCTGACTTTCACATCACAAATTAGCTCCTAAATTTACTTCTTCTGTGAGTCAAACTTTAATAATTTAGTTCCATGTCAGAGAAAGCTATCCTCCTCTGAAGTTAAATAGTAACTACATGGCACAGTGTGACCTATATCACAGCTCAGGGGAAAAGATATTGGTCAAAATGTATTTTTGCAGGTGAGAGGCTTCAGTGTTTGATAGGAGGATCCATTTATCAGGAGACAAATGCACAAAATGTCAGCTTCCCTGTGCCATGGCAAGTACCTCCAGGAGCCTGTATATCACAGCATCAGACACTGAGACAGTAAAAGGAAATATGAACAGATTTCTGAGCACCATAAACCCCCATATGCTTGCTGTAGCTGTTCTGCCTAGCACCAGTGTGACTCATCCTATTTTACACTAAAAACTTTGTTTTAGGGGGAAGTAAAAGAAACGGTTAAAATACACACCGCTCAGAAGTAAACCCTACATACGAGTATCTGATTTTTGAGTGAAAGCAGTGTTTGTAAAAGATGCTGTCTTTGACCTTGGGGGAGTAAAACAAGTTGCCCTGAAAAGGCCTGGCAGTAAAAGGTGCTGCGTTGACAGCCAGAAAATCCAAAGCACGCTGCCCCTCATTACCCTGCCAGCATGCCTACGGAATGAGCTACAGGAACCCAGAGCCGAGCGGGATGGCAGAGGGGCATTCAGTCTCCACGCCTAATCAATCCTCTGCCTTTCTCCGGTGTGTGACAATTAGACAGCCAATTATTGCCACTTAGAAAGCCATATCTTGCGCGAATGAAACTCCCAACTCATTTCATGTACAACACAGAACTGCTGGTACTGCTAATAATTTCTATGACAACTGACCTTATCTGGATTTGAACAAGTGATCTAGAAGTAAAAGAAAATTCCTTTGAAAAGGAAAGTAGAAGAGAGTGATGCGGAGCTAAAATATCCCCTTGGGAACCAGATTAACGAAAACAGCATCTGGGCCACGGGTGGAAGCAGAAGGTGGATTTCCAGTTCCTCAGCTGCCTCCGTGACCGCAGATCAGCTCGCCGTATGCGCTCAGTGCTCCCTGGCCACGTGCACAGCAGGCTGGTGCGGGTTCGCCGCTTTTCTGTAGACTTACTCTGCGTGGAGGGCAGTCAGACACTGCCGCTTTGGGTACCCCAAAGAAAAGGTACCGTATACAAGCTAAACGTCAGGCTGTTTCATCTTTATTCAACATGTCTTTGAGTTTTGGCATTTGCTTTAATATACTAGACTTTATGGACTAACAGAGGTTGGTCACTGGCTGGCCACCTTACACGCGCTTACTTTGCAAAGAAACCTTAACTGAAAAAATAACGGGCTTAATGAGATTTCTGTCCCCGGGTTTGACAAGCGAGACCTTCAGAGCTCTCTGAGTGACAACTGCCAAATACACTTAACTTCTTAATTACGTAAGAGGAAAATGCACTTGAACTATAGCACTGGCTCTAAGATTTTATTAATTACAAATGCACGCCCCGCTATTAACATTTTGAACTTGATTTGGGAGAATGACCTGTGAAATTAAATGCACTCAGGTACTGTTAAAGATATGTAAATGCCACCTGCCTCTCGCCACCTGCCCCAGTGCGTAACGCCGCAGTACACGTCTGTCCAGTTGTTAATGAGTTGTATACTCTACTAAACCGATTTCAAATGTTGTGTATTGAATCTTCACTCTTGCAATACGGCACTTTATATTTCTATCCTATTTAGTAAAATTAATCAACAGCTGTGCTCCTTATGTTGATTATTCTTTTTTCTATTAAGATCGGGAGGTTAATGAGAGTAGTGAAATGCCTGGATGTGGTATACAGGATAGGAAGGAGTAGCTAATTCAATCAAACATATACCCCTGAAAATGTTAAAGCTATATTAAGAAATCCAGCTATAAATAACTTGGTATTTTACATTTCTATCTTCCAAGTCAGAATGATCCATATGGACATCACAAACTTTCAGAAGTGCTTTGCTTTCTTCTTCATTTTCACTTAGAAGGCTCAGTTTAGCAAAGTATCTATCCAGTGTATTAGGTCCTGATTTCAGGGGTCAAACCTAACTCTAACATAATGGAAAAACCCTCTTTACAGGGTGTGGGCTCAGGGCCAGCCCCAGTAAATGCCCCGCTCCGTGTGTGAAGCAGCGTGCTCCTGCCCTCTGCTTTGCAACCCCTTCCCCGGCCCCGGTCTGCGAGACGGCACCTCCACAACCAAGGGCAGGCTGTCCCACGTCCTCGCACAGCTGCTCAGAAGCTAACACGAGCGAGCCTTTTCTCGTTTGAAATCCACATCTGATGGGAGTATCCCAACGTAGCAAAGATACAGGTCGGGGATCTGTGATCCTGGGACCCTAAAAAGTCAGCTTTAAATCAAAATGAATGGCGGCAGTAATGTAACTAACACCACCTATACGACCTTCCATACCTTTAAGCACTTCACAAACACTAATTGTTGCTGAAACTAAATGGCAGACCTTTCCAGCACCACGAGAGGTTTGGGCATACAGTTCTTGTTATTGTTATTTCTCCGCTACGTGTTGAGGGTTAGGTCCAAGGAACCAAACTCCATTAATAACTCAGGCTGCCAGCTCACATCCATCAGCATCAAATATTAATAGACTCACGAGGGCCAGAGCATACATCTTTCCAGATGGCAGTCAATAATATGTCTTGTTTCTGTTCAGGGAGAGGGGAAGATTTTCTTCCACAAAAATTATTATTGTACAATATTAGTAGAGCTTAAAGACACACTGCTGCCTTAGGTGTTAGCTGTGTTAACAAGCTCTGGACACTTCAGAAAGTGTTTTCCCTGGATTAATGTTGCTCTAGCAGATTAGATTTCTTGTTTCTGTTAAAAATACACTCCTGCTGTAAACAATGACCAAGTCCCTTTAAAATCCTTTTCCGGTGTTCAATACAAAGATTTGTATTTATTCCTGCACTTTTTGGATCAGGCCTTTAAATCCATGAAATGCATTTTCAAAGGAAAAAAAAGGGTATCCCAGACCATAAGGGGAGTTAATAACTCAGCAACGGTCAACAACGCCCGGCAAAGTCTGCACCCATACCTGGTCTCTCGCAAAGTTTGACTATTTAAGGATGTGAAATTAAGAATTTCAGAAGTAGCTACAATCTACAGGAATAAATTTGCGTTGAAGGGCTAAAGCCTGGGTCCACTGAAGTCAGTGGCAAAACAGAAAATCAATTTTTCAAGGCCTCTGCAATGCGGAAAACTCAGGGCTGTTATTGAACTTGGCCGCAAGTTTGCATGATAAAGACCTATGATTTTTCAAGGCCTCTGCAATGCGGAAAACTCAGGGCTGTTGTTGAACTTGGCCACAAGTTTGCATGATAAAGACCTATGTGACAGGTTTGTTTGAGTGTTCTTAAGGTTTAATCTGCCAAGGTGCTGAAAATCCTCAACTCCTGTGCAGATTATTAGGGGGGACTGACAATACTGAAAGGCGATATATTTGAACTTTTGGTAATCTGCAATGTGACTCCAACTAATCTGGGATTTTTAACACGGTCTCCGATTTCCTCCCGCTCCCCCTCCTCGCCTTTTTTGTGCCAGATGAATTAGAGGTGCAACACCTGTCACCAGCAACAGGGAAGCTCGATGCTCGGTTCTCAACGCTCACAGTGCGGGCATTAAAAAGAAAGAAGGGCATGGTGCAGTGCCATATGTATGTAATGATAAACAGATCAGAAAGACAAAATGCAGGTCCTGTTTGTACCTGATGCCTGTGCGTCCAGATAAGCTCTTTGGTACGGATTTGGTACGTAAAAGTATATATTTATATGTACACACATTGCGTGGCACACCAATGTGCTGGTACACAGCGTCTGTGCACTGATGCAGATCACAGATACAGTTCTGTATATTTACTTATTTAATTGTGACATTTACAATTAACCCAAAGTGGTTCTCCACAAACATTCCCTCAAGGTAAACATATGGTATCCAGCAACACAAACTGTCAGAACAAACTAATCTCCCTAATGGTGTTCCAGTGGAAATTAATGTGCTCTTCATAAGTGTATTAGCAGCAGTAGGAAACTTTGTAC